CCACAACGCCCGGCTATTTTTTGGTTGCAGCCGTCATTGTTGTTTGGCGGGTCCGGGCTGGGGATTCGAACCCGTCACCTTAGGTGTACGTGGCTGGCGCCTTAGCCGGTTGAGCCATAGGCGCCGAGCCAAGAGCTCTGTTTTCTTACAGGAAACAAGTTGGCTATTATGAAAATGAAAAATGTCTGTAGATATTTTGAGCTGCCAGTTTTCCTCCTTTGCTGGCAAAGTAATAAATTTCCTTTTCCTTCTTCTCAAAAACAAATAAGAAAACAAAAAGCTTTCACACATCAAATGATGCTATCAGATACTATCCACAAAATGAAAAGGTAACCCATAGAGTGGGAGAATGTATTTTCAAACCACACATCCGATAAGGGACGACTTATATCCAGAATATACAGAATATACCTCCTAAGGCCCACCTGCACTTTTTGGAGAAAAACCAAAGGATGCTGAAAACCAGTTGATTGTTCCAGGTACTCAATAAACCTGGACCAGTTTCCATCAACCTTAAGTACATCTTAGCAGGAGAGTTGCTGCCCAGCCTGTGGCCATTATTATTAACATGGAAGCCAGCCAGAACTTCCACTTGATAGAATATAGGCTGCTTCATTAAAGGGAAAAAGGATTTTCCTTTCTGACAGCAAAGTGGAGGAGGAATGTCTGGTGGGAGAAGGACACTGGATGAGAGATGCTTCATGCTCACAGGAAATCCACCACTATTCATTTCTGCTGCCCTGTAGGGACCAGGTGCTGAGTCACAGCCCTGTACTTTATCTTCTTTGGTCTTGGGACAGTGGCTTGGCTCCAGTGCTTTCTTAGTTCAGAATTTTCCTAAGGACTAAGATACACTTAAAAATGGCTCCCAACTCTAGCTCCAAAACTATTTGTGACAAGATATCACAATTCTTTATATGCTGAGGGATTTAAGTTAATTTTTTGGAGAGATTTTCCATTTGGAATATTGTGAGGCAATGATTGGTTTAAAATCTTATTATTCTATGGACCTTTTCCTCCCTATTAAAAAAATGTTCTAAAACACACTATAAGTGTCTAACAGATGGTTTTGTTCAGGTTTTTTTTTCTTTCTAGTAGGTAGAAAATATTCAAGCGCCACTGTTGGCGACCCTGAGGACTGTTGCATACATTTGTTCAGGCTGGGCACTGCACAAAATTTTATGGCAGATGCAGCAAAGTATGTTGTTCTAAGAAAATCCATATATTGTGATCAACTTCCTGGGGGTGGACATAAAGGATCTTGTGCCCAGTTCCCATGGAAGCTCTGTGTAGATGGCTCTGCCTGTGCTCTGCTTTGGGTCAGCTTGTAACTCCAGGGCACGATTTCTTACATAGGATACTGTTCCTGCTCCAGGGGCAGAAAGGTGGACCTGGGGCAAGCCACCCCTCCAGTCAACTCCCTGTTAGCTCCACAGCGTTACTCCAAGGGTGTGAACGACCTGGGCTGGTGTAGGGCTCTAGTGGTCGTGTTTGAAGGAGGACTAAGCCAGGCTGACTTCGCAGTCAGGACATGAAACCCGGAGCCGTCTGCAAGCAGGTGGCTTGGCTGGCTGTTGGAGTTCCACTCTGCTGTTCCAGGGACTCTGTCTTGTGGCCTTCTTTCCCTGCGAATCAAGTCACCCCAGGGACAAGAGCTGGAGCAACAGGCCTGGCTTATGCCCAGGGAGAGGTGTGGAGGGCGCTGTCCTCCCCACCCCCCCACCCCGTCTGCCTGCTCCCCTCTGCCCCCACCAGCTGTCCCCCAGCGTCCTCACACCCAGGACTGGGCTCCTCAAACACACAGCCCTTACTTCTTGAAGATTTAAACAGAGTAAAATACGTGAAGTGGCAAATACGAGAACATTGATAAAATTAAGGACTTTGAGTTTTCGGGAACTTGGTGGTTGCTTCCCCTGGGGTTGTTTGGCCCCTAACTTTGTGACATGAGAACGGTCCAACATGAGCGGAGGGACCGGGGACGCCCACATGCAGGCCCTCGTTGGTCTTGTCCTAACTGATTCCTGCACTTCCCGGCTGTGCGTGCTGTGTGTGCAAGTTGTGGCACAAAAGCCCGCTTCGGAGAGAAAGTAAAAGGACAGCTAACAGTGGGTTGGACAAAAGCCACGCGGGCCCGCGCTTCTCAAACTTGTCAGGGCGCTGGAACCGCACCCCGCCCCCAAGCTCTCATCCAAGGCTTATCCAGGTTCGGCCTGGCAAGGCCAAACTGGTCCCTGCTTGTCCCCGAATGTCTCCTGAGCTAAGACCTGCTCTGATATGTTTTAAATGGTTAGAAAAATCAAAACGATCATCTTTGAGACACATAAAAGTTGAATGACATGCAGACGTAGGTCTGCACTGAGTTTCCGGGTCACACAGTCACCCCAGCTGCTGTCGCTGTGGGCCTTCCGCGCCCCGTTCCCCCAAAGCCTGAAGCCTGGTGACTATCCCGAGAGCGGGAGCAGCGCGTCCAGCAGGGGGCAGCAGAGAGCCAGGCGGGCCGGCGCGGCCTCCCGAGGGCCGGGGGTGCGGGAGCGCCCAGGGCGGCCACGCCCGGGACCTGCCCGGCCGGGTCGGCAGGGCTGGAAGCCGCACGTCGTCAGTGCGGCTGGGGTGGAAAGGGCAAGGCATGAGGGCAGGAGGGGTGGCCCGGCAGGTGGGGACGCCCCGGGGGACGCCACGTGGGACCTGGACACTAGGGCGCCCCTGAAGGGCTTCGGGAGGCAGAGAGATAACATCGATTTGGGAAGAGGGAGTGGCTTTGGCGGCTGTGCCTTGGAACGCTGTTGCTACAACCCCGGGGCCCGATGATGGCTGAGCGGCTGACCCTTTGAGGAGGAGGCTGTGAAACACCGGGCCTCCCCGCAGTGCTCAGAAGTCCCCGTCTGCTGGGCTTTCTCATTTCACCCTGGGAAAGGCTGGATAAAGGGTGTTGCTGTTTTCTTCTTTTTCTTTGCTTTTTTTTCTAGCCTTCTTGACATTGATGATGCAGTGAGCTTTTCTCCCTTTTTGAGTCCCACCTCGGTATTTTCTTCAGGGTGGCTCCAAGCAGCTGTCGGCTTTCACCCCTCCTGAGCTGGTTCTAACTAGTTGAGCGTTCCGCCTTTGGGCAAGGCCTATCTGTCCTTTTTGTTCTGCCTTAGAGAAGCATTTCTTTTCTTTTCTTTTTTTTTTTTTAAGTATGACAGTAGTGCTTTAATAGGGATTGCATTAAATCTGTAATATGTCCGTCTGTAGTATGGACATTTTTTCCCTATTAAATGAAAACTGTACATTAATGCAATTCTGGGATGGGGAGCTCAGTGAACACCACATGAACCCCAGAAAATGCACAAGAGGCAGATAGGCTCAAAATTTTCCATGAGATCTCAGAGGTCCCTGCACTCCCTAGGGGGCAGCCAGACTTAGGATCCCAGACCCTGCAGCTGCCTTCCTGGTTTAAGGTTTGGGGCTTGTTATCAAGGGCTTAACATCAGATGCCACTTGCCCTCCCAAAGACCTCCCTGGCCATCTGATTTTCTTACTATCCTTGTGACTTACTGACCTGATGCTAACATGTAAGTCTTTCTTTGGAATGGATAAAATCTCCCAAACATTTAAGACAGAAGCTAGACTGACCTCCCGAGGGGGGGGGGGCAGGTGTGGTGGTCTGGGCTATGTGTTGGTTCTGAGAACCTCCCTGAGCAAGAGAAAGGGCTTCCAGGCCTGAGCCGGGTTGGGTTGACCCCTTCCTATACATTTGTCCAGGAAACATTGTGTTCACGGAACTGTGAACTTGCGGAGTTTTCTTTTAGGAGTCTTAATGCATTATTAAAACCACTTTCTTGAAACAAAAGGAGTACTATGTCAGATGCCATCTTATTTAGGAAATTATTAGCCTCTATAACTAGAAGTAAGTAGATTATAGTTTTTAAAAGATTAATATAATCTTTATCACAAGGCAACTTTGGAGAAACATATTCATTCATTTACAAAAGATTTCCAAGGGATAAATTGAAGCTTAAACCATTTTTCAAATTATGCAGATTTAGAAAGTCTAATTCAATATCAACTTTTAATGAAAGAAGTGTCATTCCTCCAATTATAGTCTGTTATTGTGTGTTAACCACAGTTTTCATGCAGTATAAATTATGTAACATAAAACTCATTTAAATGTACAAATAATTTTTTTTTTTTGGCTGGGGCCAGGTTTGAACCTGCCACCTCCAGCATATGGGGCCAGTGCCCCATTCCTTTGAGCCACAGGTGCCGCCCCACAAATAAATGGTTATTAGTAAATTTAAAAAGTTATACAACTATCACCACAATCTAATTTTAAAGCATTTCTATCCCCTGAAATGATCTCTTACTTTTTAATCACAAGAAGTGATATTAGAAAAATAAATGTGTTCCTTTCTGCATTTGTGTCATTTCAGTTATAGTCTTATTAATAAATGACCTCTATTGCTATCTCCTCCAGGCAAACACGAGACAGTGGGAGCAAAGCTCTTGCAATCTTATCAGAAGCCCAGGTGAGTGTTACAAAGGACAGACCGTCCTGGGCTCGGGGGGTGGGGGCACAGAGGACACTGAAAGAACTTATAGATCTCTTGACTTTCAGATGTCACTGCTTTGGAATGTAACTCTTTTTTAAAAAAAAAGATAAAAGTTCTTGGAAAAGATTCAAACTTAGATGTTTCCAGATTCTTATAAAAAGCCTTCTAGCTAGTATAGTGTTTTTTCACTAAACGTTCTGTTTTGTTTCTTAAACTCTCTTGAAATGTCATAAGGAAACTAAATATTATCTTTAATTAACATTAAATGAAATTCTAAAGCAAGCATTTGCTTTACTTTAATCATTCCTATCTCTAACACCTTACCCAGTGCCTGGTACTTTAGAGATGTTTGTGGAATAAACATCAGTGGAAGTGAATAATGAATGGTGTGAGAGATGTTGACCTCTTCGCACAAAATTCTACAAACCTATTAGTCTTGAAGCTGGCCATAACTCACGCACCTGATTACACTGAACTTATTAAAGTATTACTGGAAGCCTCCCACCACTTCCCATGTTGTTTCTGGTCCGTGATGAGATTTTTCAGTCTCGGAACGTTTTCATTTTTCCCTCCTCTATTTCTTCTCACTTCTTTTAGCACAGACTAAATTCAGTTCCTCTCCTGGTTGATTTTTACATCCATAACATTTTTGGCACTTTGGCTGCTTTGCCCTGAGAGGACACAGGTGTCCAGATGGAAACACACACACAGGGCCTGGGGTTTCCCCGCAGAGGTGGCAAAGCAGGGCCTGGAACACCCTGCTGTGTCAGAGTGCACAGATGGGGTGGGGAGCCCGGTCTTCACAGCATGACCTTCACTTCCCACATTTAGATACCAGGGAATAATGCCTCTTACGCAGTGCAGGTCCAAGTAGGGCTACTAAATCTTTTTCTAATAAGTAAGGTGGTTAAAAAAAAAAAGCTGAGAACTTGAATTATAGAATAATGCCACGTCTTGTTTATGTTATAAAGCCAGTAACTCGCACAGTTCATAACATGTTTCTTATTCTTGTATTTTCCTTGGCAGCAAAATTTCTGTGGTTCCTCCTACGCCACCTCCCTTCAGCAAGAGCCAGTGTGGCAGCAGCCCTGGCAGGGTAATGTGTCTGTTCTGGGGGCTTCCCTGAAGGGGAGGGAACTAAGAACCTTGCAGCAAAGAGATTTGACTTTGGAGCAAGTCAGAGAGCCAGGCAGGGAACCAGGCCAGATGTGAGGTTGGGCAGGGCTCCTGTGTGAGTTCAGTGGCCCCTGGGACCATCTGAGTTGCCCTTTGCCTGCCCCCAAGGCCTCATCTTTCCTCTCAGCTTCTCCTCAGCCCTCTTTCTCCCTCTGCACAGCACCTGTGAGTGTGGGGAGGGTCTCTGGGGGTCCCAAGGGAAATGTGTGAGAGTGGGAGTGCCCATGAAGTGAGTGTGTGCCTCAAGACCCTAATGTAAAGTAGACCAAAGAAATTAGTTGTGGGGGAGTTATCTGGATTTCCCTACTAAGAGGTGGAAATAATTACACAGAGGCTCCTCGACTTATGATGGGGTTAGGTTCCCAATAACCCCATCATAAGCTGAAAATATCCTAAGTTTAAAATGCATTTAATGCACCCAACCTGCCAAACATCCCAGCTCACTCTCGCCTATCTTAAACAAGCTCAGAATTCTTATATTAGCCTAGAGGCAGGCAAAATCATCTAACACAAAGTAATGTTATTATTTTATAATAATAAAAATTAAAATATTACAGTAAAAATAAAAGATCAAAATTCAAAATTCCAAGTACAATTTCTACCGAGTGTGTATTGGGTTCACACCATGGTAAACCCAAGAAACCCTAAGTCGGGAACTATCTGTATTCTTCTGGCTTGCCTCCAAGGGCTGTGAGAGATTTAACAAAGTAATAACATCTATAAAATGCCAGAGAAAGGTCTTGATTCTCTTGTCGTTACTCTGTAAATTAATGGAGCAATTATATCTGTATATGGGAGGACATGGGAGCTAATCATAACCCCAAAAGACACAATTCCCAATGCCATAATTCCTGGCTGTTGAAATCCGGCAAGATTAAAATCCTCTAAATATAATTCTGGAAAAAACAATAAAAAGTTGTACGATAATTTATTTACATTTTTGAAAGGGCAATTATTTGAGAAAATAGACCAACAGGACAGAACCCTTCATAGGCCACTTCATACAGTAAAATAGGCAAGTCTCGTTGCCTGTAGCACAAGCGGCTAGGCCGCCAGCCACATACACTGGAGCTGGTGGGTTCGAATCCAGCCCGGGCCTGCCAAACAACAATGACAACTACAACTAGAAAAAAAAAAATAGCCAAGAATTATGACCGGCGCCTGTAGTCCCAGCTACTTGGGAGGCTGAGGCAAGAGAATCACTTAAGTCCAAGAGTTTGAGGTTGTTGTGAGCTGTGATGCCACTGCACTCTACCTAGGGCGACAGCTTGAGACTCTGTTTCAAAAATAAATAAGTAAATAAATAAAATAGGCAAGAATAACATACATTTTTGCAAATACTCAGGTGTGCTAATGACAGTTACATAGGTATCATAGTTATAAGCAGATGAAACTTATTCATAAAGAAATAGATCAGTACGGGACATGTATAAATGCACATCACCATGGTTGATAATTGTGTGCACCCAACTTTATATCTGGTCATCTGGAATACCGTGGGGAACAACTTAAGTCTTTGTAGAGTGATCAAAAACCAGAGTGAGTCATCACCGCATCAACCATGTGTGGTTCCCAAAGAGCTGACATCTCCAGAAATTGTATCTTTCACAAATGCAAATGTACAAAAAGGAGATCTCTTCATTTACTGAGAAAGGTTTTGTTTTGTTTTTTGGCCAGGGCTGGGTTTGAACCCACCACCTCCGGTATATGGGGCCAGCTCCCTACTCCTTTGAGCCACAGACGCTATCCACTACTCAGAAAGTTTGAACAGTTTCTCTCTGTATACACACCACCCTTACACACAAAGTCAACGTCGTGATAGTATACTTTGGTGGTGTCAACTTTGCAAAAAAATGTGTAGAATGAATTAGAACTCTCTACAAGTCTCTTCATGGTTTATGCCTTCACTACCAGAAATGATGCAAAGATGAAATCTACAGCCATACACATCTAGGTAAACGGTGGTTTATTTCCAAATAAAGGCACGGGTAAGAGTTCCTCCTGACAGAGACAGCCATCCTGTGACTGGGATTTTAGGGATTTTAGACTTTAGGAATTTATTTAGGAATTTAGAGTTTAGGGATTTTGATCTTTCAGGATTTTAGCATTTGGGATTATGGCTTTCAAGATTGTGCCTTTGGGGATTATGGTCCAAACCTGAAACTAGACACTGTGATGATGAGAGAGAAAATACACTTACTCCCTTTCAATTTCGAACTGAGACTCCCGGGTGACCTTCACAATCTTGCTTTGCTTTTTTCTTAAGACTTAAATTCTCCAAAGTTGTTCTAGGACCTGTGCTCCCAAGACATTGATTGGATGGATGGTTGGTGGGTGGATTATGGATGGGGGCAGATAAATGAGATTTGGAGAGGGGAGTGATCTTTCTGTAGTTTTCTCTCCTGTTTTTTTCTCTCTTCTGCTTTGGGAGGCAGAACTCTGTGGCTCCAGACTGGTCGCCTTGTGCCTTGTGCCCCTCCTTGGCCCTGTATCACGTGCATTCTGCCCATGTCGGCAGCCCTTCTGCAGGGAGAAGGGTGGGGCCACAAGAGGAAGGTGATTAAACAAGCAGTAATTTGCTCCAGTACGATCTTTGAGCCAATGAAATGCCAGTCATTGTTTCTAAGAGATAGTTGTCATCTTGTCAACAACTCACTGATATGCTCCTTCCTTTAAAATAAATGTCAGAATACGGGGGAGGGATGCTGAATGAAGAGGCCCTTGGGAGGACGGTGCTCTCTGCACCTCCAGACACGCATGCACACACCCATGCCCGCCCACACCCACGCACACCTGCCAGTGTATTGGGGTTGCCGCCCGGAGACTGCTCGGGCAAACACAGGTCCTCAGACCTAACTCTCGTCCTCTCTCCTCTGTCTCTGTTTTAGTTACAGGAACTTGGTCAGTTTAAAGGATTTAATAAGTCCGTGGAAAATTTGTTTCTGTCTGTTGCCACCCACATAAAAAGTAAGTGGATGCCTCATGATATATTCTTCCCACCACCCTATAGTCCAGCTGAGCCCACTGGCCAGTAACCTCAGCCAGGATTGTCCCCAAGCCCCAGGGTAAGCCACCGCACCATCTCCCCTCCCGCAGAGCAGGCTTTCAGTGCCTTGTGGGAGTGAGGGGTCCACCATGTCAGTCTCCAGGGCTGCCTCTGTCCTCCTACTCTGGCCAAAACATGCCTAGCTCAGCACTATGGTCAGAGGAGTCCACACGTTGTAGACCCTTCCAGGGGACAAACAGGGGGGAACAAAATGAGACTCCAGTAAGTATAAGACCAGAGCCTTTTGAGCAGGTGGGGCCCAACACCTGTCGTTCCCTGGGAGACTTGTCTGATTCCTCCTCCCTTGGTAAGTCTATTTTCTGCACCTAGCAGTAATCCTGCGGTTTGTGGGTGCACAGACCTCCGCTGCTGGGACTCTTGTCTTTTTCAGGGTTCTTTCTGTTCATGTATTCTTGTCCCTGATTATTTTAAAAAGCAGGTCTAGAAAACAGACCCTGTCTCGTGTCCTCCAGGGGCCGAGGGGTCTTCGGCATCTGTTTCTCTTTCCCTGTGTTTCTGTTCAGCGTCTGCTCAGCACCCCCCTTCCTGTAGTTGCACCAATGGCCTTGTTTTTGCACCTTGGCTCTGAGACAGTCTTGTTATTTGATTTTAATTAGTCATCTGTATTCCACACCAGCACCATGTAAGCTATCTCACGGCCACATCTGCGAGAGCACAGCTCCTCAGATGAGCAGACACGGTGACACTCTCATGCAGTGGCCTGTCCCCTTCTCTAGGAGGGAGGAAGCAGCTGGATTTCCTGTGCCTGTTTGCCAGTGGCACTTGGGGGCTTAAGAATCAGCCGCCAGGCTCAGTCCCGGCTCTGTGCCCACGGCCTGGGACGGCTCTGGTGGTGGCCCCCTTCTCACCCTTCTCAGCGTCTCTTTCTAGAGGTACAGACTCTCCCCAAAGCCACGTGGCTTCTGCGAATTCCTTCCCACCACTGCTGGTGTGGAATCTGGGTCTTGGACTTAGCCCAACCCTGTTGTCCCTCAGCTACAAAGTCCAAAGGGGCATCACATGCGTGGAGCCCAGCCCTGCATACAGTGTGCCACAGCGGGGCCGGCTACCTGCAGCCTGCCTGGCCCTGCATACAGTGTGCCGCAGCAGGGGTGGCCACCTGCAGCCTGCCTGGCCCTGCATACAGTGTGCCGCAGCGGGGGTGGCCACCTGCAGCCTGCCTGGCCCTGCATACAGTGTGCCGCAGCGGGGGTGGCCACCTGCAGCCTGCCTGACCATCTCCTCCATGGCCGAGACTCACTGGTTTTATACTGAGGTGGACAACTAGAGCTAGTCCCTACGTGGGGTGTGTCTTTGCCCATGCCCTGCAAATTATGTCCCCTCACCCTTCCTCAGCCCTGAGGTGGGAGTAGAAGTCACCCACTTTCCGGCTCCTGGGGACAATACCAGGCCTCACACCCTGCCCGAGACCCTCCTGCTGGTTCTTCGGGGTGGGACATGTGGCTGCCCAAGCCCCCTCACCCTGCCTCTGCCCCAGGACGTGTGGCGCCTTGTTGGTGCTGATCCTTCTGCTGAAGGTTTTGAGCTGTCACTCACAGGTCCATCTTAACCTTTTTCGCTTCCTGTTTCTCCACAGAAGCTGTATGGAGGGGAGTCCTGATCTGAAGTCAGATTGGCCCATGGGGCCAGTGGGGAGGGGCTGTGAAGGGCCTGGACTCTTGGGTGGTCTATGGCCCAGAGCACTTCAGGTGGCTGTGCCCCTTGTCGGGTGGAGTGCTGACCCAGAATTACAGCCTCTGGCCACCGTGTTGCCTAGTGACATTTGTTAGACCAGCTGACCTCATTGTCAATACATTTCTAGGAGCTGTCCACATCGTGGTCCCCTTAGAGGGAGAAGGGTCTGAAAAGGTTGATTCTTGCTCAGGAGTGACCTTTCCTTCTGTCCCTTTTCCTCTGTCCCCAGTGGTGCCACACATAAGCTCACTTGTCAGAACCTGCACAGCCTAGGGCGGGGGGAGGGGGGGACTTCCTGCCCACTAGTCTGTGAACTTTAAACAGACTAAATGGACACCAGCTCTAGGGGGACCTTGATGAGTAGGGGGCTAGGGGGACCTGTACCTCCTGAGGCTTGGGAACAATCCTGTCCCAGCAGCACACCTGAGTAGGAGACTTCCTTTGCCTGCCTTGAGGACCTGGCAGTACTGCTGGGTGTGGCGAGCTGCCTCAGGGCTCCCAGGTGGCAGCCGTGAACTGTGGGAAGGCACTGCTGTCAGAGGAGAGGCTCTCAGGCACCCTGGCTGAGACTGTGGAAACCAGGGGCTTGGGGGAGCACGTGTGGTGCAGGCAGATAGTGAGGGGACAGGGAGACACACAGGAACGTCCCGACGAGGGGGCAGGAGACAGCAGGGGCTCTGGAGCCCCTGAGCTACGGCTGCAAGATGTGCTGCCAGGGCAAAAGGCACGCTGGTATCAAACAGAAGTGGAATGTTTCCTGAATGATTTTAATATTGATTACACGTTGTAGCAATATTTTGGATATATTCTGTTAAATATAGCATGAATTTTACTTGTATCTTTTACTTCTTTAATATGGCTGCTACAAAATGGCAGTTACAGGCACGGCTGTGTCTGCGGGTGCCAGGCAGCCCCGCTCGAGGGCCAAATTTAAGGTTCACTTTTGAGAGAAATGAGGCTCCCAAGGGAAAGGGGAGTGTGTTGGAGGAAGGACCATCTTGAAGGTGGTTCCTCCCGTCTGTGTGTGGCCTTCCTCCTTCCTACTTATTCATCTTTATTCTAGACAAATATTGGACTGCGGGAAAGTTTTTTAAAGTAATCTGTCTTTAGGAAGCAAAAAGCTTTGCTTACTAAAGTAGGTATGGGGAGACCCCAAATCTTATTTTTACCTTGCTTCAGTCACAGGAAATAGCATTTAGTTATACAACCTTGGTAAGGAACCCCTAACCCCCCGACTGGTTTGGTGGGCTCCGGCCATCCTGTGTGGATGAATGAGCACACGCAGATGTGTGGCCCGGGGTGCAGAGGAGCTTGGCTGGAAGGTTTCCTTTTAACTCTCACCCCAATAGCGGCTTCGCCCACTAAGACGTGTGGCCAGTGTGACCACAGGGAGCTCCATGAAGGAATCCAGTCCCCTCCTACCCTGTGCCTAGTACAGTGTCTGGTCATCCTCCTGGTCCCTGTGTGCTCAGCGGGGGACCTGCTGCCTGCGCCCCTCCATGCACTTTGCCCTCCTGGGACCCTGGGCTCACTGTCTGTGGGCTGCAGGGAATCTCAGAGGAGGCTCCCGCGAGTCTCTGCAGAGCTGTGTGTGCCCCTCGTCACCCTTTGTATTTGTTTTTTTAGAGCTCTCCAAGTCCCAGAATGACATGACTTCTGAGAAGCATCTCCTGGCCACGGGCCCCAGGCAGCATGCAGGCAGGACAGAGAGACGGAGCCAGTCTGACACTGCCGTCAACGTCACCACCAGGGTACCCAAGGCCCTCCTGGCCTCTGCGCCGATCACCTTCACATGGCTTTTTAGAGCTTTCCAGCCCATTTTCTCTGTAGATTTACTTTTCCTTTTGTTTTATAGCAGAACATGAAGCAATCAGAAAAACATAACGACAAGCTCCTCTATTTGGGCAAGTCCAGTTAAGGGAAAGTCAGAATTTAAGGTCATTCAGATCGAGGAAAAGCTTTGACCCCATCCAGTCCCAGAGGCTCCCTGCTGGCTTCAGGGCCACACACCAAAGGCAGAGGGCTCCCTGCAGGGCTCACGCTTGCCCAGTTATTCCTAGGGTCTGTGAACCCCTTCACAAGGAATCAACAGGCCTTTCTGCTTCCATTCAAGGTCAGTGATCTTTGGTTAAAATGCACCCAGGTCTCTGATCAAAAGTATTTAAATACAAATCCTGCACAGTAGTGCTCTAATGTGAGGGGACTCTCTCCCAGGTGTCTAACCCACAAGACAGAGCTCGCCTAGTGAGGGCTCTCAGGGAAATAATGACTCCGCTTTCCACCTGATGAGTGAAGCCTTAAGCAAATGCACCAGGCATGAGCCAACTGTAGAATCAGAGACCCTGAGGAGCCCTGGCTGGCAGGTGCCACCAGCTCTTGTTTGCAGGATTGACATGACTTCCCTGGTCTGCTGGATAGGACACGTGCCCTGTCTCTTTGGCTGTGGGCTCCACTCAAGATGTCCCCAGACTCTCTTCTTTGTGGTGTGAGGTCAGCCCCACTCTCCAGCTGAACATACACAGGCTTCTTGAGATTTCACTTTCTGCCACCTGAGCCCATGTGCCCCTCTGTAAAATGAAGATGATAATAGCACCTCTTTTGCCCACAGCAGGTTTTATAAACATCCAGTGAGATAGTATAGTATCTAATTTGCCATCTGAACATATTTTCTAAATCACCAGCATTTATTATGAACTGGATTCTAAAATCCTTCCCTGGACCATCTCATTTTATTCCCCTGATTGCTCTATAAGGTGGATGTTGTGTGTAGCCCCATTTCCCATTTAGGGAAACGGAAACTTGGAGAGATTTGATCACACGCCCAAAGTTATGCAGCCAGAGAGTGGTGGGCTGGGGTTGGAACCCACCCAGTCTGGGTTGGAGGCTGAACTCTAAAGGCACCTCCCGTGGGTAGGGTGTGTGAGAGTCACTCGGTCTCTGGTTAAAATGCACATTGCAAATCAGTAGGCCCGGGCTGGGTGTGAGATGCAGCTCCTCAGATGCGTTTCCAGTAGCTCCTGGGTGACCAGGGGCAGGTGGTGCTGCTGCCCTCAGATCACATTTAGGGGGAGGTGGTGCTGCTGCCCTCAGATCACATTTAGGAGCAAAGTGTCTGGAGGAGCAAAAACAGGTCTTGGGAATTCTAAGTCACAACGGAACAGTGAGCTGGCACTGGCCCCGTGGGGTCCATGTAGGCTAAGGTGACCAGATTTTAACATTGGTAAAGCGGGACACCACTAGGGTGGGTGGGTGGAGGTAAGGGGGGGTGAGTGAGGGGTGCGAGGCAGGGCTACTAGCTGAGCTGTTTATGGTTAGGGACCCTCTGGATGGGGAGGGGGGCTACTTGTTTGTTCCAGACAGTTTGGCTCCTTCTGAGCTAATTGTCCTTGCCTAGAAGCGAGGGAGGGAGCCAGTCTCCTTCTGATACCAATTCCACCTGGGTGACCTTGCCCACAAGGGGAGTAGGGAGTTTACATTAGCCTTTTCATTTTCAAATGAAGTTACATTAACCTCTTCATTCCCAAATGGAGTTACATTAACCTTTTCAGCAGCCAAAAACCGTATATTCCCTTCCCATTCTCCCACTGTTCCCTAGTTTGTCATCAGGACTTTTTTAAAACCCTGCGGGATGCGGGACAAATTGTTAAAAATCGGGACTGTCGGGTGGTGCCTTTGGCTCAAGGAGTAGGGCACCAACCCCATATACCAGAGGTGGAAGGTTCAAACCTGGCCCCAGCCAAAAAAAAGAAAACTGCAAAAAACCTTTATAAAAGGCTCGGCGCCTGTGGCTCAAGTGGCTAAGGTGCCAGCCACATACACCTAAGTTGGTGGGTTCGAATCCAGCCCGGGCCTGCCAAACTACAATGATGGCTGCAACCAAAAAAAATAGCCGGGCATTGTGGCAGGCACCTGTGGTCCCAGCTACTTGAGAGGTAGAGGCAGGAGACTCACTTGAGCCCAGGAGTTGGAGGTTGCTGTGAGCTGTGATGCCATTGCACTCTACCCAAGGGGACAGCTTGAGGCTCTGTCTCAAAAAAAAATCAGGACTGTCCCACAAAAAGCGGGACATCTGGTCACCTTAATGTAGGCACATCCTAACTGCTGCCCTGGAATTGGCTCCTCTTCCTTAAGCTGATCAGGGAGAGAGCCAGCGTCCATCAGGAAGCTCTGAGCTGGGTGTGAGGGCAGCATTGTTCACATACTTGGTCTATCACATCTAATTTCTACAGAAATACCAAGAAAGCTGTTCTTACTCCCATGGTAAAGATCAAGAACCTGAGTTTTAGTGGGAGGTTAATCAACTTGTCTAACATGACCTAAAGACTGAAGCACAGGGCCAGGCACTAAACTCAGGTGTATACAATTCTAAATTCTTAACACAGAAGAGGGTCACCTGAAGACCACTGGGGAAAAGTGCTCAGGAAGGGGCTTCTGGAAGTGCGAGCAGTTCTGCTCTCCTGGGTCAGAAGAGGACACTCAGACACCAACATTGTTAGGAGTTAACCACAGACCTGGCACTGTTCAGGGGGTAAAGCCCTCATACGTATTTAAAACAACCCTGTTACTGGGCGGCGCTTGTGGCTCAGTGGCTAGGGCACCAGCCACACATACCAAGAGTGGTGGGTTTGAACCCAGCCCCGGCCAGCTAGAACAGCAATGACAACTGCAACAACAACAAAAGCCAGGCATTGTGGTGGGCACCTGTAGTCCCAGCTATTTGGGAGGCTGAGGCAAGAAAATTGCTTAAGCCCAAGATTTGGAGGTTACTGTGATGCTATGGCACTCTACCAAGGGTGACAATGTGAGACTCTGTCTCAAAAAAACAACCCTGTGACATTTGTACTATTACTGTCCCCATTAAAGATGAGGACACTCAGGCAAAGAGACGACCAAGGGCGGGGCAGAGCGGGCCCAGAGACCACCAGTGACCCCTGCTGTGGGACATGTGACAAGCTGTGCTGTGCCAAGAGGGGGTCCTCCAAGTACCCACAGGCTCTGCTTGTGGCCTCTAAATGAGGCACCTCAGCACACTCCCTCCCCACGGCATGTGCTCAGAGCCTGCCACCCACGAAGGCCATGTTCCACGTGTGGCCACTCCCCTGCCATGTTTTTGGCAGGACATACTCATAACTCTTTGCAGGCCCTCTCTCTCCCCACCTTAATTCAGGATATGCTATTTTAAGGAGAAGTTTAGCCAAATTTTTATGAAGTACTCAGCAATCACAGCATGATCTATAAATGCTAAATAATTATTGGGTTGAAATACCTGTATAAGGAGAATGTCTTACATAGGACTTTTGTCAAACTGTCAAACACGTACCTCAGCTGGTGAGCTCACAGAAGTCACCTTTGTTTTCATCAGAACACTTTGGGGGCAATTCACCAACATTCATTATGCAAGGTGGTGCCCCTTGGAAGCAGAGGCTGTGGGTGCCCACCTTGCAGGTGGCTACACTGAGCAGTGGATTATTAGATGACTTCCACTGAGCCAGTGAATTATTAGATGATGACTTTAAACCACGAGGTGGCCAGGGATATTAACTGAGGAAATAGCTCAGGATCCCTTACACGTCACTTCTCTGACCATGAGTTTCAACCACCTGTTCTGAAACTGCTCCTGCGAAGATGCTCACGTAAGCCTCCAGGCCAGGGTTCTTCAGGAAGTAAATTCTTCTTACCTCTCCTCCATGTGCATTCCAGTGGGACTTTACTGTACATCTCACGAGTGTGCGTTTGGTCTCCATTGGCCATCAAAACGTGCACCTGTTAAGTAGGAGGGGTGTGTAAGATGCCGTCAGGAGGGCCCTCCCTGGGGATGAGGTCAAGGGTAGAAGGAGGAAGAAGGCCTCACTTCAGTGTATTCTCCTTTGTGTTATATGAAGCTCTCCCCATGGGTACTGAAATCTAAGGAAGCCCACCCAGCCCTTGGTCTTCCCCCCACATCTTCCCTTTCCCTGCCTGCTGGCTACACCCCAAAGGCTGAGCAGGGAAGGGAAAGGCTGTGAGCTGGGCTGCAGCCTCGTTCTTCACTGTTTAACGCTCTGTCCTCAGATCTGAGGACCCAGGAGAGGTGGGCTCCTTGCAGCTGGGGTTTGCCCTGGTCAGAGCTTATCTTACAGCCAAGCCACGATCTGAGTCAGAATTTACATTGAAAGGTGACCTTAAGACGAATCTCAGAGGAGGTGGCAGTTGTTATTCCTTCTATTATTTTCTTATGTCCATATCTGAGATCAGCAAAAATCCCAAATATATATTGCTTGGTTCCCAAGAGTGGAATTTGATCAAATGAAACCTAACATCTCTTGAACCTCCCCATTTAAGGTTAAACGTAACAATTCTTTGCAGAGTAGACCTCATTCAGAGCAAATATTTTTCTCTGGAATCTGGCTGAAACTAGTCATTGAAGTACATTAAAAGTCACAGGGGAAACAAATGCCTGTCTCAGTGACATCGACAAGCAGCTGCTTGGATCTCGGTGCCCTTGAGTAGGGTTCTGACCTCCAAGTCATCCAAGCCCTTGGAATTTACTGGGGAAGAGTTGAACACACAGATTTTTAAGTTAGATTCCTTAGTCAATCAAAGTAGGCATGTCCTTCAGAATAGTATTGACTTTTGTAATAATTTTCAAATATTTATATTTCTATTTAAGCTCCATTAAAGGTTTCCCAGAGTCCCAACCTCCTTAGAAGCTTAGTCTTCCCTGGCCACAAATTGAGGTGCCACATTATCACTATCACAAAGATAGGCTCGGTGCCTGTGGCTCAAATGGCTAAGGAGCCAGCCACGTACACCTAAGGTGGCAGGTTCGAATCCAGCCCGATCCCACCAAAAAAATAATGACGGCTGCAACCAAAAAATAGCCAGGCGTTGTGGTGGGCGCCTTTGGTCCCAGCTACTTGGGAGGCTGAGGCAAGGGACTCGCTTGAGCCCAGGAGTTCTAGATGGCTGTGAGTTGTGATGCCATGGCACTCTACCCAGGGGGACACCTTGAGGCTCTGTCTCAAAAAAAAAAAAAAAAAAGTTTTCTTTGTTCCTTTTTGGAATTTTCTGTCATCAATTTTGTTATGAGTCAAAAATGTAATTAAATGAATAAGAAGTGAATTATTCTTACCTCTCCTCTCATGTGTTAGTCATCTCTGGGTGGCTTAAATGACTGACATTTATTGTATCACAGTTCCAAAGTCTGAGGGTGCCAGAAAGTTCAGGGCCCTGTGAATTCCCTCCTTCTGACCTGCAGACCACTGGCTTTGTGCTGTGTCCACAGGGAGATGGGTTAGGGAGGGAGCTTGGTGATCTCACTTCTCACAAAGGGCACTAATCCTCTGCGGGCCCCACCCTCAGGGCCTCTAACCCTAATTACCTCCCCAGAGGCCCTCCTCCATGTTTCATCACAAGGGGTCAGGACTTCCACACAGGAACTTGGAGAACAAAATTCTGTCCATAGTAAACACCTCTGAGGCACAAGGCTTTATGTTAATGTTTCTCTGCATTTTATCCTTTCTTTCTCTGACTGCTTGTCGCTTTCCTTGCATGCTACCCTGAATCTTCCTCATCCCCCAAGGCCCCTCAGAGGAGGGTGGCCTTGCTGTGGGAGCATCCCACCCCCTCCCTCCTGCCTGGGCACCTCCCTCTATCCTCTCCTCTTCCACGTAGCTAGGGCTACAGGTGCCCGCCATGATGCCGGGCTATTTTTTCTGGTTTTGGTAGAGACAGCATCTCGCACTTGGTCAGGATGGTCTTGAATTCCTGAGCTCTGGCAATCTACCTGCCTCAGCCTCCCAGAGTGCTAGGATTATAGGCCTGAGTGACCGTACCCAGCTTCCTCCTCCTCCTTTTAGAGTGGTGGACTTAATTTGTTGCTTAACAAATATCTGTTTGGCTCTGCCCCTGTGGCTCAAGTGGCTAAGGCGCCAGCCACATACACCTAAGGTGGCAGGTTCGAATCCAGCCTGGGCCCACCAAATAATGATGGCTGCAACTCCCCCCCCCCAAAAAAAATAGCCCAGCATTGTGGCGGGCGCCTGTGGTCCCAGCTACCTGGGAGGCTGAGGCAAGAGACTCGCTTGAGCCCAGGAGTTGGAGGTTGCTGTGAGGGGTGATGCCACAGCACTCTACCCAGGGGGACAGCTTGAGGCTCTGTCTCAAAAAACAAAACAAAACAAAATCTGTTGGAACTGAGGCGGTGATCTGGAGATTGAGAGCATAAGTAATATTTTGGAGGTAATCATTTCTCTCTCGTGCTCTCTGAACTAACACTATAAAGTACACAGCTGTGCTTCCCAATCCAGTAGTCACTAACATATAACCATACACGTTATAGAAGGGTCAACTACTAGCACAATATTTTTATAAAATGTAGAGAAATATTTTGATTTGTCTCTTTTTATGAGCATATTAGAACTAAAACTCCACTTATTAGGCTGATATTGTATTTCATGTGATTAAATGCTAAAACCTGGAATTCCTTAAGACTTTTACAATCCCTGAGTAACCCACCCATCACTGATTGTGACAAAACTGGATGGTGTCTTCCTTGGGCCCCCCGCAGTGGTGTGTGTGCACTTATCCAAACCAAAGCGTGTCCTCCTCCTCTGTGACCACAGTGTGCATGTGAGCAAGGTCAAGTGGGGGATGCAGGACCACATGGGAACAGAACCACGCTGGGGTGTAGACTCTAATAGTAATTTTGTTTTTCCTTCTCCAGAAGGTCCCCACACTAGATGTTCTGAAGCCTCTCAATCAACAGGACTCCAAAAGTGCTACTCTCCCTGTTTTGAAGCAAGGAAATCACGCAGCCAATCTGATGCCCCGCAGGTCTTTCTCTGGAGGTTCAAGACACGTGAGTCTCATCCCAGAGCCCTCGACAGGTGGAATAGGGTGGTTGGGATGCAGGTAGACAAGGCGGGGTGAGCTGTGGTCTTGAGATAACTGCAGTGTGGCAGTCGGGCTTGGAAGTGATACTGAACGTAGGGAGCTGAGGAAGACCTTGCTATGCTTTGAGGGTGTTTTTGCTTTTTTACAGCATCTTATTACGAATGTTTTCATACATACAGGGAGGAAGAAAGTAATTTATAGCAAATTAATGGTGTTTTCTGATGTTTTTAATTTTGATAAAGTCTAATATAAAACTATTTTCTTTCATGGTTATTTCTGTGTCTTGTCTACCTGTAAGTTGTGGAGATGTTTCCTGTGTTTTCATCTAGAAGCTTTTAAAAGTTTAGCTTTTATGTTTAGTTCTGTACTGTAGATGATTATTATTGTTATTAGTGAAGGGCATAAGGTAGTGATTGAGGCTCATTTTTTTTTCTATATGGATATTTAGTTAATCCAGTACCATTTGTTTAAACAAGGCTATCCTTTCTCCTAGAGATTTTGGTGCCTTTGTTGAAAGTCAAATGGCCATACAAGTATGTAAATGTGGGTCTTTTCGGGGCTCTCTGTTCTGTTCCCTAGACCATGCTATCTTGAGTACTGGCACTTTGTCCTAAGTCTTGAAGTTGGATAGTGTCAGTCTTCTGAGTTGGTTCTTCTTTTTCAAGATTGTTTTGTGATGTTTTAAATGTATTCTCTGTATATAGTCAGGTGTTGTTGTTCATTGATTTATTAAGAAAAGAACTTTATTGAACACTTACTTTATGCCTAGAATTCTTATACCTGGTGTAGTAAATGGAGCCTTGGAAGAAGGGTCTTGAGGCCTCAATAAAAAGTTTTCTTATCCATTTGTGCTGCTATAACTGAAAGCCAATTTATAAACGATAGAATCTATTCACACAGTTCTGGAAGCTATGAAGTCCAAGATTGGTGTCTGGTAAAGGCCTGTTCTTCCGAGATGGCCACATCCAAGGTCCTCATGTGGTGGGAGGGACAGGAGGGCAGGAGGGCCAGATGCTGTGCCAAGCCTTCTTCCTAAAGGCCTTAATTCCATTCACCAGGACTTGATTCTCATGGCTTAATCACCTCCTGAAGGCCCCATGTTGGTGATTATGTTTCAACACATGAATTTGGGAGGGGATGTAAGTGTTCAAACCATAGCAACCAACAGTCATGGTTCTTTTTTATTTTTTTTTTGAGACAGAGTCTCACTGTGTCACCCTCAGTAGAGTACCATGGTGTCACAGCTCACAGCAACCTCAAACTTTTGGGTTTAAGTGATTCTCTTGCTTCAGCCTCCCAAGCAGCTGGGACTACAG